AGACTGGAATTATTTTAGAAGAGTGTGGTTCAATACCTTGAGGTTTGACTGTCTCTAAACTATGCCATTTCTGGTGTGAAGGTCATTGTTCTTGATGAGAAATAAGATTTACCTTAGGCTTTAGTCACAGAGCATCAGATCATAAGAAAAATGCCCTGCTCACTAGGACTTCTCTTCCAGTTTGAGATTGATCTAGCTGGCATATGGGTCACCTATATAGAATTTCTACACCACATAAGTAACTGCTCTGCAAGTAACAAGAACAAGAGTAAAGTTATCCCCAAAGGACTTGAGAGCAAAACTGGAAAAGTAGGCAACAAAGTTTCCAAACATCCCTAGGAAAGGGAAAGCCCAGTTAAATAAGCCACTGAGATGAGAGAGAAGAAAGGACTAAACCTAAATTACTGCATAAGATTTAAAAGTGAAACAATCATAAGGAACTGAAGAGCTAAATGGTCTGGGAGAACTGTTTATGATAAAACATCAGGAGTCTATTGTGAAAACTACTGTGGTTAATATTTCTCCCACAATATTCTTCTAGACCACATCACCACTACTTTCTCTGGTGATAGCCTGCAATTCCTTTGGTCTCAGGATATTTCACTTTTATCCTCTACTGGGATTATCTAACTTCAACTGATATAGGACAGGAGCATACGGACTTGAAGGAATCTAAGGCCACGTAATTTAATGCTCATGGCATAGCATAGGACTTACAAGATACTGGGACCATACCCAGCAGACATCTCCAAATTAGGGGCACAAACCCCAAGTCACAAGGGCAAGCTGATAAGCTGATTTTGCCAGTTTCCTCAGCCAGTTATTCCCTATCATGTGGTTTGGCAAGGAGATAAAACTTGGACCAACATTGATGGTAAGAAGAGGTTGTTCTCTTTCTTATACAAGCTTTTTTGGATAAATTTATTGTGGCATTAAGCTGCAGACATCCATGCTCTAGTTCCCCTGATGTCCAGCTATCATAAAACCTTCTATGATTCTGTAGCAGACCAGTTTTCATCTTCTTTTAAGTTACCCCAGGGTTCCAAACAGCCATTGCAACTGAAAATGTGGCCCTGGCTATGCAGCATAACGCACAGTCAACTAAAGAACAATAGGTGCAATTCATCAAAACATACCATAGGGCAAATCACAGCAGCACGAAAGAGCCCTAAACCTAGAAGCGTCACACACAAAACTTCATCAAGGTGAATGCCTTTTTCTCAGCATAAGTAAGATAAACACATATACTATAAAATATGTATTGCCGTGTCATTCTGCCACCAGAACTGCCTTTCTGAGACAGAGCAGATCACACCTTATCTCTCCTTGAATACTTTCTATGGCTCTCTGTACCCTTGAGCAGAGCACTCAAGGTCCTTCACAATCATGCCCTAACTTCCTTCTCCTTCCTGCTAGTTAAGCACCACACATCACTCACCTCCCACTGCTCCAGCCAAACCACTGTCAGATCTGAATGGTCACTAGTCAACTGTGCCACAGAGATGGTAACTACATTGATCCTTCCTACAGTACAACAAAAACTAATTGGCTGTCCTCCAGATGTTACTGATTCCATCATCCACTGATTCCACAAATCAAGAGTTTTGAGCTGTTTTTCCATTAAAAGTGCACATCACAAAGGTACAGAAAAATTCAGATTCATACTAAAGATAAATTAACGGATGATTATTTGGCTTAATGAAGAAGTATCTTAAATAGCCAGCTCCCATAGTGTTTTTTAAATGTGATTTGGTTTGCAGAAGGAAGATTTGGTTTGTACAAAAATTTTAAGCATATATCCAATTCTACTGCAGGTGATACTTCCCATCGATATGGTTCACAAGTGTTTAATAAATTAGCATTTGTCTCCACTAAGTCACTTCACGGGAACAAGTGTAAATATGCCAATGTGAAAAAAGAAACGGGAACAGGAAGAATGAAGGGGTAGGAAAAGCATTTTATAGTTTGTCAGGATATTAGGAACAGTGCCTCGTTTTTATTTGCATCATTATTTTTAGAAAACTCAAAGTGACTCTGGTGCTACTGGATTTGTGCTGTTTTATCCACACTTTCCCCCTGCACTATTCGGTCTTTAAGCAGAAACATGATGTGATCATCATACATGCTGAACTGTGCTCAGATGCTACATGAAGGATGCAGTCTGTGGCTATGGAGCTCAGCAAGCTGACTGGTTCTCACAGATCAAGGGCAGGGCCTTGGCCTTCTAGCATTAAAATTCTGCAGACTGCCAGCCAAAAATTCATGTTCTGGGAGACGGAGGAGGCCAGGATTTTACACTGTAAGGGCATGCAAACACATAAGTGTAGACGAGCAGGAGCTTACAAGAGAAAACACTAATAGAGCTAGAGTGAAAACCTTACATAGTTTATCTGACAGATGAGTTAAAATTATCAGAAGACTAATTTGTAGCTAGTATTAACAATTCTACAAACGGGCCGGCCCGTGGCTCACTCGGTAGAGTGCGGTGCTGATAACACCAAGGCCACGGGTTCGGATCCTATATAGGGATGGCCAGTTTGCTCAGTGGCTGAGCGTGGTGGTGCTGACAACACCAAGTCAAGGGTTGAGATCCCCTTACCGGTCATCTTTAAAAAAAAAAAAAAAAAAAAAACAATTCTACAAAATACAACTTAAACATTTGAACATATTTTATCATTAAGTCAGTATGATATATTATGAAACACAGGCATATTAACACTCATATTTTCAAGCACTTGGCCAAATGGATTAGAAAAGGTACATCAAAAGAACAGTACACGTTGGCCATTTCAAAAGACAAAACTACAAAATATACAAATTGTAGACTATAAGTATGATTAATTTTGATTAAAACACTTTACTTACTAAAAATTAAGTCACAGTCACACACATTTACTAAACATCTTTATCAGCTCTGAGATTAACTACCATCATAATAATTGTGATTACCTATGATCCCTTACTATGATCTGGGCACTGTTCTTTTTTTTTTTTTTTTCCTTTTTGTCTTTTTTCGTGTCCGGCAACGGATCGCAACCCTCAGTGTCGCGCCCGTACCGAACTGGGACCGGCAACGGGATCGCAACCCTCAGTGTCGCACCTGCACCTCGCTCAGCCAGTGAGCGGGAACCGGTCTGTATGTTGGGATCCGAACCCTCAGCGGGAGCGCCACCGCGCTCCCAAGCAGCGCACTGTAGCAGTGCGCCACCGGGCCGGCCCTGGGCACTGTTCTAAAAGGTTTATATGCATTGCCTTGTTTAATTCCCACAACAACTCTGTGAAGAAAGAGATCATCTTCAATTTAAAGACTCAATTTAAAAACTGAAGCACAGAGGTTAAGTAATTTGCCAAAGGTCCAATATAAGCAATAAATGGTGGAGTTATTTAATTAACTTGAAACCTCATACAGATTATTAAGGAATGATTACATTTATATAAATAAATATGCCAAGGAAAAATACCTTTAAAACTATAGAGACATATTCACATCAACCATGTTGTAAAAGCATCAATTTTGTGCATGAGGTTCTTGCTCCGAATCTACTCGCACTTCCACCTGTTACTCATGTACCTCACCCAAACTGAATCTTGTGTGAGAAACAAACTTGGTTAATAACAATAAAGGGAAAGATACAGTGGGAGTGATTTTTGTTTTACAAAATTATTTGTCACTTTACAATATAACTCATTTGAGGTGCCCTTAAGTAGCAAGCTATCAAATGTTATTTGTCTTAAAAAATTGAATTACCACTTTTAAACTACACATATATTACACAGGGACAGGCATAATCAGACATGAAAAGTTGGGCAAAACATAAGATTATTGGGTTCTTGGACTTGATATCAACCATGTAAGGTTTATGGTTTCTCTCAGGACATGAAGACACAAGGAGAATTTTTCTTTAAACATTCATGATAGAGAAAAAGACCAACACTATGCCATAACGTAAAAATTAATAATTAAGGTCTTATTTATGTTTATCTGGTCAATCCTAATAGTTTTGAGTTAAAAATTTTTTGATTTCCTTAAATAAACTAGTGTATATGAATGACTGAAAATGAATTTGGCTTTCCCTAAGTATGTTCAAATTTAAAGTTTCTGACATTGCCTGTGGGAACTGTGCCTCAGGCAATATTTTTCACTGGTCTGGTATGTATAATGAAGGTATGGTATGGTATCTTTTTCTAGTTATTGTTAAAATATAAGGAAAAATTATATTAAGTTGCTCATATTTGCTAGCTCTTCTTCCTTTCAGCAGGTATTAGCTATGTCGTCTTTCGTTGGCATTTACAGGTGACATGGCTATCATGCATGCTTAGCAAATAGACTAGTTATTATGTGTGGCTAATAAAAATGACTCATTAAAGTCCCATACTTACCATACAATACTCTACCACAACATCAACTTAAATGTATCACAGAAGAGACAAAATGGAAATAATTTATCAGTGATAAATAGCTTGTGGATGAAATCTTTGTAAAAATCAATCTGCAGGGCCGGCCCGGTGGCGCACTGGAGAGTGCGCCGCCTGGGAGCACGGCGGCGCTCCTGCCGAGGGTTCGGATCCCACGTGGAGACCGGTTCCCACTCACTGGTTGAGCGAGGTGCGGGCGCGGCACCGAGGGTTGCGATCCCGTTGCCGGTCCCCAGTGTGGGCGCGACACCGAGGGTTGCGATCCCGTTACCGGTCAGTAAAAAAAAGACAAAAAGGAAAAAAAAAATCAATCTGCAGTCTAATTAATTAAAGATTAGCTTTTGTAGTCCCAGTGCCTACTACAGAGTTGGCATATAGAAGTGATTTAATAAATGCTCAGTTGCTAAAAAGCTGGTGTTCAGTTCTTTCTACTTCCTGAAGACACATGTAAATAGAACACTCTCATCTGGAATACATACACACATCTACACAAGAGGTGACTGAAATGAACAAGCTGATAATGTCAGTGTCTTTAAGTAGAAAGAACCAAAGAAAAGATGACATAGTTATAAAAAGCTGCTTACCTTACAAACAGAAAGAACATTAACATTTATCAGTTTCTTGATTGTCTGCAAATAAAAAATTGATAATTTTATATAGATTTGATCATGGAAGTGACCATATTAGAGACACACTTGAGTAATCTAGAGATACGCTGGAAGTTTCCCCAGATATTGCAGAGCACTTGGAAAATGATAGGAGTTGGGTGGAGAGGTAGATATTATTTTACTCTCATAGTTATGGTATTTTTCTAACAACAGTAACAATTCATGCAAAATCCAAGGTATAGATACAAGTAAAACCTGGAAGAAAAAAGACACATTAAATCTAAAATAAGTAGAACACCTTGCGACTTCCCCTCTGCTAATATGGAGAGCAGAAATTATTGAATCTAAGATTTTCAATAATTTTAAAAAATTTACATAGTCCTTCAATGATATGCTTTTCTAGCTTTCATTAAAGGATTACACATGCATCATGGATGCAGCTTTCATTTTGGTAGAGCTGGTTTACCTGAATCAACCATGTTGCTGTATTTTAACATATTTATGATTTTTAAATTGATAGTTAGAATCCTAATACTTAAAATAGAGCTGTTTGATAGAATAAAGATAAAAATAATAGTAATAAAAAAACCAGAGCTATTATTGAAACTGGCATTGAATAAATGAGGTTATAAATATTTTCACATTCAATTCTTCTAAACATGCCTATGAAGTTGCTGATTTTATGGGCAAGGAAACTGATACTAAGTATGGTTAGGATCATCCCCAGGTAGCAAGTAGGTTGAAGAGCCAGAGTGCTGGACTCCAGTGCTCACAGTCTAAATCATTATACCATATTGTCTCACCAATACCTGTGTACATTCTTTTTGTTACCATAATATACAAAGAAAGTCTTACATTGTCCAAGTCAGGAAGGTCCAAAAAGTATTCAGGATACTCATATGACATTCCCACATTGTTCACTGAAATAAGAAAAGATCATTAGCTAACATATATATTTTAAAGATTTATTGAAATAATGGGGTTAAAGATATCAAGACTAAAATGATACCTACAATTACAGAAAATACTGTTTACGGCTGGAGTGACCTTTCCCACACCTTTCTATCCTAAATCTATCCACCCTTAAAAGTTCATTTCAAATGTCTCTTCCTTCATTAAGCCTTTCTGTACTTACCATCCAATCCCTGACAATAGTATTTATACTTGCCTCCCACTTTCCATAGCCCAATGGGACATGGGCATTCTGCCTCTGTAATACACTTATCTGTAGATATTGCTTAACTCTTCTCTAGATCTTAAATCTTCATAGTGTAGTAGAAACAACAGACAGTACTGTGGCTTAAGAGACTGGAAACCTGAGTTTTAGTTTTAACTGTTTCCAAAAATGTGTGGCCTGGGATGAGTCATGGATGATATGCATCTCAGCTTTTTCCTCTCCAAAATGAGAACTAATTTAATCATTCAATAAATACTGGCCACACACTTCTGGGCAAGATGTGTGTTAGGAATTAGAAAAGGGAGAAAGGAAAAGACAGTTTCTGGCATCATGGAGCATACAATCTAGAAGGAAGAGAAAGGCACTCAACAGAAAGAACCAAAGAATTATTTCATTGCAAACATTACAAAGTGCAGAGTGCCATGAGAGTGGATTCCTGGTGAGCCTGCCTTCATCTGGGAAGTGAGTGAAAGCTTCCTTCTGGCAGCCAAGAGAGTGTCAGACTAAACATCTTCATTCAACCATCCATTGAAAGTTGAGGTCATGTCTTAGTTGTCCTAGCATCCCCCCTTCCCAATCATTTAACCTAAGGTTGGGGCTACAAGACAATAGACAAGATGTGAATAAACATATACATAATTAAGTACATGACTTTAACACTCAGATATCCTGAGGTTTTCCCTAGTCCTGGAAAGACAAAGTTAAACCCAGACTAGGGAACATTTGCAGGAATCAACCAATAAATAAAATAAATTGGAATTTGTGTTGTTAACTAAATAAATAACTCATGAAGTGGATTATTTATCTACATTTAATTTCTGAACAACTCTGTTTGGTACTTCCTATTATTAGGTAGCTGTTATTATTATCTCCCTTTTACATATTGAGAAACTGAAGTTTATAGCAGTCAAATAACTTGTCTGGGGTCATAGAGCAAAGAAGGCTGTGATTCAAAATCAGGAAATTTGACTTCAGAAGCTAGGCTCTTAACCACTATGTTAAGCATCATGTGCCTTCATCCAGTATTCAATTCAGAAAAAAAACCAAAAATGGTAATAATTGGACAATAATCAGAAATTTGATAGCAATATTTAATAAAACTGTAAAGTATTAGACAAGAAAGCTTTCCGTTGTAAAAAGATATTAAAATTATGATCAGTCTGCTAAAGCTTATAAGAAATTGTGGCAGATAAACCTGATAGTAGTAATAGCAATTTTTTCAATAGACTAACAAAATTAGTAGTTCAAAGGAACTCAATAAGTGTTATATATTTAGCTGTAAGCCAGTCATTTGAGGCTGTGATATAAAGATTTTACTTGCAAAATTCAGTCAGGATGGCTTGAACAAGACCACTGAAACCTGTCTGAAAATATGTAAACAAAGGATAATGACAAAGCAAACTGTATTTAATTAGGATTTGTGTCCATCTGAATAGAGATAATGTCTAAATAATTAATAACAGCAGATCCAAATTCATTTTTACTTTACTCAATAAGTTCTCTATGTACCAGAGGTCCTAGAATCAATTCTATAAAGGATCTGTTAACAATTAAGCCAAAACTAGTTGAAAATAAGGCTTTATGTTCATTTGACTTTGCTTTAACCACTGCAGAATTATGAAGGATAAATAATTTACTTAAGAGTGTGACTAATGGGCCGGCCCGGTGGCGCACTGCTACAGTGCGCCGCTTGGGAGCGCGGCGGCGCTCCCGCCGAGGGTTCGGATCCCACATACAGACCAGTTCCCGCTCACTGGCTGAGCGAGGTGCGGGCGCAACACCGAGGGTTGCGATCCCGTTACTTTATGTTCATTTGACTTTGCTTTAACCACTTCAGAATTATGAAGGATAAATAATTTACTTAAGAGTGTGACTAAGGGGCCGGCCCGGTGGCGCACTGCTACAGTGCGCCGCTTGGGAGCGCGGCGGCGCTCCCGCCGAGGGTTCGGATCCCACATACAGACCAGTTCCCGCTCACTGGCTGAGCGAGGTGCGGGCGCAACACCGAGGGTTGCGATCCCGTTACTTTATGTTCATTTGACTTTGCTTTAACCACTTCAGAATTATGAAGGATAAATAATTTACTTAAGAGTGTGACTAAGGGGCCGGCCCGGTGGCGCACTGCTACAGTGCGCCGCTTGGGAGCGCGGCGGCGCTCCCGCCGAGGGTTCGGATCCCACATACAGACCAGTTCCCGCTCACTGGCTGAGCGAGGTGCGGGCGCAACACCGAGGGTTGCGATCCCGTTACTTTATGTTCATTTGACTTTGCTTTAACCACTTCAGAATTATGAAGGATAAATAATTTACTTAAGAGTGTGACTAAGGGGCCGGCCCGGTGGCGCACTGCTACAGTGCGCCGCTTGGGAGCGCGGCGGCGCTCCCGCCGAGGGTTCGGATCCCACATACAGACCAGTTCCCGCTCACTGGCTGAGCGAGGTGCGGGCGCAACACCGAGGGTTGCGATCCCGTTACTTTATGTTCATTTGACTTTGCTTTAACCACTTCAGAATTATGAAGGATAAATAATTTACTTAAGAGTGTGACTAATGGGCCGCGGGATCGCAACCCTTGGTGTTGCGCCCGCACCACGCTCAGCCAGTGAGCGGGAACCGGTCTCCACATGGGATCCGAACCCTCGAACCCTCGGGGGAGAGCCGCCACGCTCCCAAGCGGCGCACTCTCCAGTGCGCCACCAGGCCGGCCCCCAAATGGTAGCATTTAACTTAGCATTAAATATGTTTATTAGTGAGAGTTATCTTGAATTCTTCAAATGAGGCACCAGAGACAGATTTAAACTTTTTTGCAGTGACTTGCAAAGCCTTTTTACTTGTGTAACACACCGTGTTTTTCAGAAAACAGGAAAGCTGTGTAATCTCAGAATTCCCACCACTGTCCCAGTAATCGCCACAGGACCTTGAACAGTAATAAACTATCAGTTTCTTGCTGGAGTTCTAAGACTGGGGAGAGCTCAACGGAAGAGATGAGGCAGACAGAACAGAGGTGAAGACAGGCCAAGAACAAGGATGAAGAAAGTGGAAAGAGAAGGTGGTGGCGGGCAGAGGAGCGATCCTCTTGGAGTTCTAGATCTCTGCAGGGAAGAATCGACAGTGAGCTCTCCACAGGCTCCATCCAGAACTTCAGAAAACACTAATAGCAACATCAATGTTGCATGTTGAAGACTCAGAAAATCCATGGAGCAATTCTGAATGTCATATAAATAATCTATTATCCTATTATAATAGAATATATTAAACAATATTCTATTATACTACTTTTTAAAAATCATTCCCACATCTCATACTAAAAAAAAAATACTAAAATGTCTGTTTCTTCTAAATTCATTTGCTGCTTAATCTCACTGAACTTAGAATCCTTTATCAAAACCAGCTGCTATAGCGATATAATGATGTCATTAGAAAATTAGATTTTCGGTATCTGGGTTGGACATGAGAGACAAGCAAACAATAAATTACTAGAAAATAAAAATCCATTTGAACAAATATAATAAAACAGATATGGGTAACCCCACACAGACCACCTTCATCTGCTTCTTTCTTCCAGATTAATCAGAGACTTAAGAAATCAAGGTGGTTTAAAAATATTTTGCCTAATGGTTGGGCTTCTCCATATATATCAAATAATGCAAAGTATTCTCCTCTATTTCCTTCTCATTGTAACAAAGCAGAAGATGTTAAGTTTACATTTCAGTCATATTAGCAGTTAAACACACTAATCCAGTACCAGCACTTAACATTAGAGCTCACTAATAAAAACTGATTAGAAAAAAATACTGCCACCTAATTACATTTCAAAATAAACTGAAGTTTTAAAATATGAACTTCAGTAATAGCGTATATACCAAAAGTGGGAGAAACTTCTCTTATCTTAAGTCTCTGAGCTAAAAAGGTACAAACCTCAGAGTTTAACAGACTCAGGTTTCTTTCAGTCCTGGCTCCACTACTACCAGCTCCTGACAAGAGGCAAGTGATTTCACTGTGATAAGCCTCAGTTTCCTCATTATCCTTACTTATGAAATAGGGATAATGATTTAAATGAGAAAATAGGCATAAAATCTTTAACCCCATGCCTTAACATATTAATATGTTAATAAATGGAGGAGGAAGAGTTGTTACTGATGTGTGGTCACTTATGCAACAAAAATTTATTGAATTCCTTCTTTCTGCCCCACACAAAAGGCCTTGCTTTTATTAAATATGACAGCATCAGAGTACAAAGATCCTTTTGAAAGACAGAGCTCTGGGCAGCAGTTAACCAAAATAATTCTTTATGCTGATTAAATTTATCCTAATTGCTCCTCTTCCCTCTTCAATTCATTCAAGCAGATCTAGTCTTACAGTCTAGAGAGAGAGTTTGGAATGTGGTGCAAAGAGAATTCCTTCTTTGCCTTATTTAACATATTGCTGTAGCTAGCACATGTTCATACTCTGACAGATGATATTTGGAACACCATGCAAAACATTTTGCAAACTTTACAGTTTTCATATACTTGTGAGTAGCAATTTCCAAATAAAAGAGAGTTTACAAGGCTTTAAATTTACAGTGCCTTTAATCAGAAATTAAAAAATTAAGATTGAGTCAGAAGCAACACAACAGAACATTTCACTTCCACTGTTTCATTATAAATTGCTGTGTGATACTCATTACAAAACTATGTAAGGTTTGCCACAAATAAAATTGGAAGAGGGGATGAGGAAAGAAGGATGACATGAGCTTGGTAGTT